AAGTGCGCAGAGCCCAAGCCACACAACAAACCCCCACGTCTCCCACGTGTGTGTGTCGAGCTGTGGCGAAGCGTCGACGTCAAATTTTTGCGTCGACGCTTCGCTACAGGCCTACTCTTTATACAAACTGTCAAATTCTACACACAGTGGCTGTTTAACATTGAGAAAGATCTATAGGCAGAAATGTAATATAATATTCATAGGTATGTTTTCATTAGAACAAGCTGTTTTTATCTACAGAGGGAGCAGGTCCTCTTTTACGGAGGCCGTCATGTTTCTACAGTAGCCCAGTATGGACAAACCAAACATTAGCTGTAGATAGGACCACCCTAGTTTCTCCTACATGCTTGGAGGGCGAGTTGATTCACTTTGTATGCAATTTCACTATTAGATGCCACTGAATCCTACTCACTGATCCTTTAAAAGTAGCTCATAAAATACCATTTGTCTATATCTTAAATTCTAAGCAGTTAAATGAAGTCCACTATAATACCATCAAAACAATCATGCTTGGAACATTTTTTAATTATTATTTGGCCCTGGCAGACTATTTTTGCTAAGCTTTCCACAGCATTTCACTATGAATGGGAACATAACCATTATAATAATGATGATAATAATTAGTAATAAACTGGAGATTAACAATTAATATCTGTTTGTCTCACTCTGTTTCTCTGTTTCACTTTCAAGCCAACAAATACAACAGGCAGTGTCACCCTCGTTGAAGCAAAGAATTTCCAGGTAACTTAAAAAGAGAGAGAAATGATCTGTGGAGATTCTATGTAAATGTAAATGCATTATTCTATGCTGACTGTACTGAGTTGCATTTCAAGTGTTCTCTGCCCAATGCAGCGCATGATGGAATGCACAATAGAGACAGAGTGCACAAATAACAAAACCCCCAAAATATGTTCCATGCTGGGATGTGTGAACAGTAAGCGTGCAAACGTGAGTGAACATTATCAACCTAATACTGTTATACTTTCTTCTACCTGCTGCCATTTCTGCCATGTCTCACTTTAATGCTAATGAATTACTGTGTCTGATTAACCTGTCGTGTCTCTTTCCACCACAGGTTGAGATAAAGAATGTCAGTGACTTCTGTGGAAAACATTTACTCACAGTCCCTTTATTTTACTTCGAATGCTTGGTGACCATAGCTTCTAACAACACTCCTGAAGGTATCACTCATTCTGCTTACACACAAAGATGTTTGTTATGTTGCCTTTTCTGGCTTGGTGTACTGCAAGTAGCTAAAAAAAGTCACGTTGCAATGAACTGAGACTCCAACTGTTAAAGTGTTTATAAAAACTAAAATGTACATAAAATGAGTGTCCCATTCTTACGACACTGTTCACAAATCTGCATACTAAAGCTGTTATTTGCTTTTCTTTCTTTCTTGCATCACAGCTTGCCAATATGGTGAGTAAAAATGCTGCGTTGTGGTATGATGGTGTGCGTGTGTCTGTACTTATTGTTGTGCACCAAAACACACAATATATTGCTTTTACAATTTATGACCCTTATTGATTTTGTTTGTTTCTGATCTAAGTTATTTCAGACAAAGTCTTCCGACTCTATTCACATACATTTATTGGTAAGCCCCTCCTTATATCCCCTCTCCTTATATCTAGACGTGCTTAAGAACCTTGCATGCTGTGCAATTGAAATCATGCTGGCTGTTGCACTTCTCTATCTCTATGAACCATGAATACTTCACTTTATGCTTAATCTTTGCTCTGATTGATTATTAAAAATGAATCAGTTTTCTGTGTGTAAACGTGATTGACACACTGTGAAATTGTATTTATTTTGTAATGGTAAAAATGGCTGGTTTTCTTCCGCAGCCACCATGGCCTGTAGGCTATAGCTATATATATATATATATTAAACAGTTAATTTCCTGCAGTTCACCACACATTCCCCATCCATATTCTCCACTCTTGTAGTTCACCGTGATGTTAGCTTGCACTTCAGCTCAACAGTCACCTCATTGGAGCCTAGCATAGCTCCAGTCACCATTGTTAATGGTTAATTATTAAACTGGTTACAAGTTTAATGTTACATAGCTTGTGCTGGCCATTCTTTTCTTCTCCTATTTTGAAATACATCAATTTTAATTGCCATTCTGCCTGTAACGTTAGATAAGTGATGTGTGACTGATAGTGCTCCTGTGACTGCACATGCACAGATCTACATGCGAGTGCCTGATACGCTGAATGAATATTAACATCCACGCATGCAACATGATGCTTTAGGAAAAGTTAAGGGATCCCCAAACCTATTACTTGTAATATGTATGTCCACCTCTACCTTAAGGTGACTCTAGAGGAAGAGTCAGAGAATCACCAGCTGCACGTTCTTCTTCTGTCTGTACAAAATTAAATGGCAGTCCCAATGTTGTCAAGCTTTTTCAGTCCGAACCAGTGCAGTGGACCAATCGTCTGACATCGCCATCCCTAGAGCCATGTTGCTAGAATGGCGCAAATGACCATAGTTTATTCAGGCGTTTCCCATGGCAGTCACACTGGGGTGGTATGGGCATTTCTCGTTCAACTCATTGTTAAACGCTTATGATATTAGTTATTTAAATGCACATACATTTTACAACCGCCTGCTTGATGCTAACGGCTAAAGCTGTAATGATTCTGAATGTGTCAAAACAACCAGCAAGGAGACTGAACATTTAGTTTATTTCATGACATAACACACACGCATAACATCACACAGTCTTGTTGTTCAAAACATAAAATAAATAACTTCCAACTTCAATAAAACAAATACTCGCACAAATGATGGATAAGATGGATGTTGGATGACATTGATTACAAATCAACTCACTCCAAACTCGCTGCTTACCCCCTCGTGCTTCTCCTGCCCCTGCCTGAACCCGCCTTGTGTTTTGGTGCGCTGATAACAAGTGCTTAGGTTCACTGTGTGTATCTGCCACTGAAACGGATGAATTAATAGAATGGTGATCCTGTGCCTTTGAATAGTGCCTTTAATTTGACCAAATCTGCTACATTAGTATTTCTTATTTCATCCATATTGTACTGACTGCCTTTTCTGATCAACGACCACCAACAGCAACAACATTGCCACCAACAACAACAACATTGCCGACAACAACAACAACATTGCCGACAACAACAACAACATTGCCGCCGACAACAACAACAACATTGCCGCCGACAACAACAACAACAACATTGCCGACAATAACAACAACAACATTGTTTGACAAACAAGCAACATTGTGCGGACAACCAACAACCTTTGAGAACGCGCCCGACAATCAGCGAGTACACATGAGCACAGTTAACATATACAGTGGTAAGATATGTAAATGGAACTTGCCATTACCTACTTTGTGGCCTTAGAAAACCTCCAACATGGTTCCTGTCAGTAATGTTACTAGCATTTTCCGAACCAAAACATTGCTCTTCCAAAACATTCATTTGTTGAGAAAGTATGAAGTAAGAAGCATAAATCTTGATGTTTTTGAGTGCCAGACTCCAACAGCTGCAATGAACCAATTCCTCATAAACATGACGGTGCAATAATACCATTTTTGGGGGTTTTCAAGACAAACTGACTGACTGGTTCGTTTGGTAGATCTGGTTAACATCACCCAACTAACCCTAATCATGGTAAACTGATAGAATCAAACCTTAACAAATAAATGACAGATTAAGTGGTATGTAACTATTTGGTTTGACCACGTAAAGTGCAATATTTCCCTTCTGTTGCCTTGTGGTAACTAACATGATAGTTACAAAGCCATTTACATTCATTTAGCAGTATTCTTTATGCATGTCCTGCATCTAAAGCTGTGAACATGTTTGGTATGGCTTGTCACCTGTAGCTGCAAGGGCTCCGTCTTTCACAGTGTGTGCTGTCCTAACTAGTCATTAAACAGGATTGCTTGCTTCTTCTGCTTTTTTTATTCATAACAGTATTTCAAGGGTGAAAATGCTAACATTTTCTTGTTTCACTGCTTTTTAAGGCTGCTCAATTAATCGAAGGTGAGAAACCCGGATTGTTGATTGTACTCGTAGCGGAGACATTGCTGAGGGTCACTGTATTTCTGGGCGCATGCACATCTACGACTTGCCTGTGCTCTGAATGGACTAAAGCACTCACTGTGTGCTAAGGAGGACCAAACCATTTCATGCAGATACAGGGGGGGTGGACGGCTTCAACGATGGATGTTTACTTTTTTGGGTCAATGGGATATTTAACTTTACTGCCAAAAACACAGTAAAAACAAAGGATCGATTCAATCGGTAAATAAATTTGATTATATTTGAAATGATTATATAGGCTTACTGCAATGATGATTGGTTTAATCATTTCGTATATTAGTTTTTATCGTATATAGTATTCCGGTAATAGTCATGGGCCCTTGGGAAAGTTTTTTCCCCTAAGAAGGCCCCTGCCCGTCGAGCTATCCAATAAGCTAATACAAAAGCCCCCAAAAAAGGCGAGATTACAGGGAGCGCGGGTTAGAATAAAACAACAAGCCAGCAAAATACACAGGCCAAGAGAGGAGAGTTTCTGAGCAGGCGACTGTTCTGCGGCCTGGATGCGATAAGGCCTGCAGGGTAGATCAAACTGCCTCTCCTTCCCTATCTGCACGAGTCCTCTCTCCCCCCCCCACAGCACACACACACACTCCCCCCTCTCTCTCTCCTCTCTCACTTCTTCGTCGGGCACACACACCCAGCAGCGCCAGCGGCACTCCCTCTGCTCTCGTATCTCTCTCTCTCT